CAAGGCCCCAGCTGGGGGACAGGGGCCGGGCTCCGGGAGCACGCCCGCAGCTCCGGTTTACAAGTCCGGCTGCAGCTGGCGTGTCCAGACCCGCAAGATGCAGGGACCAGAGCGCTCCAGCTCTTCCTGCGCGAGGCGGGAACGTGTGCTGCGTTTGCAGGACTCGAGGTACAGGCAGAGCATGGAACGTACTGAAGGGAAACGCTGCACGGCGTTTGTTCACCAGCAAGGCTTCCGGCCGCCTTCCAAGCTCTCCCGCGGCCAGCAGCACCCAGCGAGGTTCTGCGCAGCTGCCGCGACCACCTCTGCTGGAGCCCCCTCTCTGCAACGCAGCGCTGCCTTGCTCCAAGGTGGGCTGTCCTTGGCTTTCACCGGGCTTGCTTGTTGCATTTTGCTTCTTGGCAGAAGGCGGAATTCTTCACGGAGAATAAGCCATGATAATGATTCCTGCGCACAAAGACAGGATGAGGGCAAGGTCAGGCTTCATCATAAAAAACCCTCTCGCCTTGTGGTGCAGGGAGAAGCGTGGTGAGGATACTCTGATACCGATTTGAACTGCAAGGTCTGTCTCCAAGGATCAAAACATAAATTTCTTCAGCCCTTTGTAACTGCTAGCTACTCATTCCTCACAGTTCTAGTACACTTTTCTCCTGAAGCCGTCAATATCCTTTGCAAATAATATGCTGCAAAGGCCAGAGGAACCGAGCTAGTACTTTTCTCAAGGTCAGAGAGTGAAATCTGTGGGTCCACTGCTGCTCAGCACATCTGAAAATCAGCTCTCACCTTCTCTTACGATTGTCGAGTGTCTGCTGCGCTCTGTGGTGGTTATGGGACAGCCTTCAAGGGGGTGCTGGGTATAAACCACCGTCCTGCTGCATTCTGGAGCCCGGAAAACAGGCAGGCTGAGAGAACTGTTTGAAGAGAAATAAACGCCATTTATCCTGCTCTATTCTTCTCCTTTGAATGTCAGCCTCATGCAAGTCCATGATGCTTTACACACCGATATTAACTATTTCATGACTTTCATTCTGACAGACAGGATAGGGGAGAGACAAAAATGCTGAAACAGAGAAAAGAAGATGGGAAAGAAAGGTAACGTGGAAAAACCAGAGCCAATACAAATGGCAACAGGTCTCCCACTGAGAGATACTGGAACTGGCAATGAAAGACTTCATAATTAACAGCAACTGAAGTTCTGCTTAGAGGATTACATCTCTGGTTTGCCTATGTTTTTATGCCTAGCTTTTCTCATGCCACCTGTGGAAATGCTAATACTTAAGGGCACAACGTATGAGGAGAGGCTGGAAGAGCTGGGTCTCTTCAGCTCAGAGACATGAAGTCAAAAGGGAGACCTTATCGTATTCCACAGCCACCTCTCTGGAGGACAGAGCAGATGGAGCCAGACACTGCTCAGAGTCATGGTGGTAAGAGGCAGGAGGACAGACACAGCTGCAAATAGAAGACATTCTATTACCTATTGTGATTTCTTTTTTTTTAGCCACAAGGCTGGTGAAATACTGGAACAGGTAGCACAGAGAGGTTGTGGAATCTCCATCCTTGGCACTGGTCAAGACTCAGACAGAGATGGCCCGACCATCTAAACTTCAAGGCATCATGCTGTTAACTAGACATGTTTTGAGTGGGGGGTTGGACCTCCGGAGACCCCTTCCAACCTAAATTATGAGTCTATGACAGTATAATCAACCATGTCTACCTCGGCCACTGAGCCAAATGAAGAATCTCCTTTGTCCACAGATGAGATTCACAACATAGTAGGAAAACACAAGCATGAAACAGATCGCATGTCTTTGCCCCATCTCCCAAAAGTTATACTTGGCACAAACCTGGAAAATCATTTTCAAATGTTTTAAACCACTTATGAAGTTAATTCCTTTACCGAGGATTCAGTACAGTGCCAATCATACTGGGCTTTTTCGTTTACTACTATGCAAATGAACTTTGACAAAGTTAGTTTGCCAAAACTCTTAGCTTACTAGAAAATGTAATAATTAGATAGTGGCTTTATAACAGTAATTCAGTAAGATGATAAAATCAACACAATCTTTTGAAAATATTGCAGAAAATTTTAAAAAGTTGCAAGTCTTAAAAAAGGTGTCAGAAAGACCACTCTCATTCAAAACAAAAGAATGTTTTGCTGCAGAGGAACATCATCCTCTGGGAGCATATTTGTCTCAAAAGTCCTAATCTTTGTGAAAAGCCGATTCACTACATCAACACACCTCCACTCCTGCACAGTGCCTTAAAGTTATTGCTGTCTCCAGGGACTGGCACAGAAAAAGAAATATTAAGTTTTGCTAATCACACATGTGTGGACTGTGATACAAAATGTGGGCTCATAATATGGATTTTAAGTCCAAGGGGAATCTAGTGGTTTCCACTGTTGATTTCTAAAATGCATTCCAATCTGCATTTCTATACAGCTGTTCTACAAGTGATTTGTACTCTTTGGCTCAGTTTATACCTTGGTTTTGTGGAAGGTGTTTTTTTTTTTTCTTTTTTATCTGCACTGTGGCCACACAGCTTTACTATTTGTAACCCAAGTGTCACTACAAGCTCTTTGGCCAGAGTCATTTAGACCTTCTGTGCCCTAACGCTTCTCAGCTGCATTGCTGCCTCCAGCTTCCTCTCCTAGAAGAAAGGCTTATCAGATTATTGGTACACGCTGCTGTTCTTGTGCTTCCACAAAGGCTGACCAGAGGGCCAAGACAGAAGATCTGCTTTCCCTCCCCTCTTCAGGCTCAACGCTGAGAAATGGTTTGCTCAGAACAGATGTACGGACTATGTAGGCCCCTGCACAAAGCAGTAATTCTTGCAGAGAAGCACAGAATCACCAGGGTGGCCTCTGGCCGCTGAGTGACCTTCACAAGGGTGGAAGCAGCAGGAGAGGATTTTGTCCAGACCCTGTAATTAGGGACTGAAGGAAAGCAGAAATGTAGACTGGTATGGGGAGCTGTGGTGAGAGGTTTCACATCTCTGTATTCCTGAGGAAGGACGATCTAGCTAGCACTGATTTATACGGGGTCAGCACAGCACAGAAAGTCAGGAAGAGAAATGGCTTGAACCTGCTCCATGCCATCTTGCTGCTGTGCGCTGGATAACCTCGCAAGCAGGAGACAGGCAAGCTGAGAACAG